CCCAGGGAGCGGGTCTTATTTGAAATCCCTTTTTTTTCCCACTCAGCATATTCAGAGCTTGTTAAAATTTAGCATCCATGTGGGCCTTGGTGTGCAGCTTTAAAGGTGGCTCAGTGGAGGCACAGCACAGCTTTGGGTTGTCTTGCTGTCTCTGCCCAGCATTTTCAGGCCTTTCACCTATAGCTATTTCTCTTCTACTTGCTGTGGAATTGCTTAGACCTGTAAGACCTGGCCCATGTGGAGGTGGATCCCCCAAATGCATAATTTACTTACCCAAGGCAACTTGAGACTGCATAGCACAGGGTGACTCCTGAGCCTGTGGATGAGCTGCGTAATCCAAGCCCAGCCCCTTATAGTTCCTCTTTGGCTGTGATGTGGAATGGAAATTGGGATAGCTAATTAAGTGCTTACCACCTTGGCCAAGTACTTTAAAGTCTTAGGGACCACACACGTGTACTCTGTAGTGCATGGGGAACTCAGTGGCCTTGCAGTTGAAAAGCAGCCCACACTGGTGGCTCAACAATACCTACGGACATCCCATCCTCCCTCAGCCTGACTGACTTGCCTCCAGAGTAATAGAACATACAGTTTAGGGTCAAGGCTGCCTCTGAGAAACATACTTCATGAAGGATCAAACATACAGAAGGTGTATTCTGCAGTCAGCCTGGGGCTCAAGAGGAAAGCAGGTGGTGGGGGTGGGGGAAGCAAGGCTGCACATGCTCAGGTTCTCTTTCCAAACTCACAGATCAGATTCAGGTATTCCTTCTCTCCTGGAGAAGAGTGTGACCTGTGATAGATATCCCCCAGGAAGAAGAAGCATGAGGAGAGGAGCATTCCCTCCTGCCCACCCCAGTTAACAGGCAGATGCTTGATCAGATGTGCTCTCACCACAATTCTCATTTTCCTCAAGAGACCATTGGGTGAGTGATGGCAGCTTCTTCCTTAAATGGAGAAGTTCCAGTATGAAATAAATAAGCAAATCAGTAAAAATGAAGCCAGAAGCAGTAGAGGCTGCCAGTGCAATTTAATTTGAAGAACCCCACAGAAAAATTTAATATGTTTTTGCCTCTTAGCCTTTAATAAGTGAAAAAGAAAATATGATAAGTTTCTCTGAATCAGATGTGTGTAGTGGAAAAAACAAAAACAAAAACTGGATATTGTCTTCTGGTTCCACTGCTTGCTGGTTGTGTTCCCAGGGGTAGGTCACTCCACCAACTCCAAAGCATCTGAGCCAGCACTTGGTACATAGTAGACAGTCGACTCCTGGTAGTTAGTATCACCTTTACTACTCTGGAGCCAGGACTGCAGAGCAGCCTTTGCTGCAGATCCCCTGTGCTATCTCTGGCTGGGTGACCAGGAAGACTTCCCCAACTAGCCTCTCGTGCTATGAACCCATACTGTGCCTCTTTTTCCTTACACAGGCTAGAACACAACGAATGGGATTCTTCCCGGACTCCTATCATTGGCTCGTGTGGCACTCAGGAGCAGTCATTCTTAATAGATATCACGAGCAACACCTGTCGAAGGGTAAGAAGGGACAACGCAGAGAGGGTGTGCTCTCAGGGCTGCCAGTGTTGAGGGTCCAGAGTCAAGCAGAGAGTATATAGAAGACTAGCCACTGAGCAGGTGATGTCTCTAAGACTAGAGGGTGCAGAAGACTTAGAGGAACCTGGTGGAATTTGCCAACTTGCATGATTAAAGGGGAAGGGAAAAGAACGTAGCCCTTTATGATGAAACTCTCTGACTGTCAGGTTTTTCTTTCAGACTCGGAGTGGTGCTGGATGGAAGCGGGTCCTGCGGTCACTCTGTCATTCACGAACCCGAGTGCCACTGTTGGCAGCCATCTACTTTCTGATGATTCATGTTCTACTTGTTCTGTGTTTCACAGGACACCTATAAACTTAGTTGTCACTTTTTGGACCATACCCCTCAGAACTTGGAAGTCTCTCACCTCTATTGCCATAATTATCTATTCCAGTGGAACAGTCTTCCCATTTACAGATCATCTCTCCGCCTCTCCAAGAAAAGTGCCTGCAAAAACAGAGGTGGAATGAGGACAGGTTGGAACTTCGGGGACTGGAGAGTCTGCTTTCTTCTACTGCCCATGGCCCAAATACTCTGCTTAATCTGAGACGCCTCACGGTTGGTTCAGAGTTGTGCAGGTCCTGATGTTCTGTGGTCCTATGAGATACTGAGACATGTCTTTCAACCAAGTCAAGAGAATGGTCCTAATAAACCTAATAATTTGAATTTCAATATTATTTTGATTGATAGCTCTTTTTGTTTCACTTGTCTATATTTTCTCCTGCTTCAGGGGGAAGTTCTAGGGAATAAACAACTGGCCTCATAGACATGTGATTAGATGTCTTGCTGAATAGGATGGGAGCTGAAGAATTCCTCAGGGACTTATCATGGGGAAGGGGACAGCATCTTTTCCCCTGACTGTTCTTCCACTGGAGGGAAAGTTGTGGTCCTGGTCTATAAGGACAGCACCCATTGTCTATGCCCTTGATCACACGTAGACTAACTGACTGGCCTCCATAGTAATATATTTCTACAATGTATTAAGTGGCTGATACCTTTCCCTGAAAGGCAAGAACAACTGGCTGTGGACACCAGTGTTCAGATTCTTATCATTCCAGTTACTCGTATGTGCTTCAGTTATGGACCCTGAGATATGCTCAGGGGCCAGCAGGGGCCAGTGCAGGGTGGGGCATTGACTTCCAGCCCAGGGGTGACTAGTGTGATGCCCACACTGCACCTCTTGAAGCACTCAGCTCCAGTGCTCTTGGCAACAGTTATTCCAGTTTCCCAGCCCCATACTCACCTACCTCTGAGAACCAGAGGGCTGAGGCAAGAGGAAAGAGAATATAGAGAGACAAAATATTTAAAATCAGACCTAAGAACGACAGCCAGGGGAAATTCCATCTGTGCCTGTTCTCTGCCACCTCTCTCTCCTCACACACCCTCACTAGTTTGTGACTCTCTTATTATATTCAAGATATGTCCCCTGCCTATTCTCCCTACCTATGGAAGAGAGGAGACTGGAGGGATCACTAATCTGTTCACAATCTTTGCTCTGTGGTGATTAAATCTTGGTCACAGCATCCCAGGAACTTTCCTGAATAATTGTAAAATAAAATTATTTTCAGACTGAGTAGTTTTGTGTGTGCATGTGAATTACGAACATGGTTGTTTATATACCTAGTGTTTGTACACTGGGAATGGGGGAAGGAAGAGAGGGGAAGAAGGAATGGGCTGCATAGAAATGTCTACAAGTCTAAAAAGCACTACATACTCAGGCTTCCTCCTCACTGACCAACATCAGTAATGGCTGCAAGCATCCTTCTAGCCTTAGCTGCTGGACCCCAGTCCTAATACTGAACCAAGAAAGCTAGGTCTTAGGATATTGAATTCATTAGACTGTTCATGTTCTATACTGTCTTAGAAGAACTCTTGAAAACATTAGGCCCCTAGAGATGCCTTTGGGTGGGAGTAGCCGGAGGAGAGTTTAATAGCACAAAGCAGGTCAGGTGGGCATATTATCATGTTTTTATATAAAGTTGCTACTTGGGAAAAGCTAGGCCCCTTTCTAAAGATACATTAGCTAGGTTAATGGAGCCTAGTGTATCTGGTTTCAAAGCCCACGCTACTTCTGCCTGCTGCATCTCACTATATCATCAAGAATGACCTTGAGACATTTGCAGAGGGGTATGGGTTTTCTTGTGTCATCTGGAAGTTCTGTGGTTTCTTCAGAGAACTGTGTTCCTATATGTTGTGTCAAATATCTGGTCTGTTAGTTCCAATTATGATACTACATTAGGATTCCAAATGAAATGAAAGTTTTTTCCCTTTCTACAAACTTTTCCTTAAAATAGTTTCCATGCCCCCACGATAAATACGAGAGAACAAATGAATAAAACTACCCAGTTTATCTCAGATTTGGAAGTGACTTTAGAAACTTTCTGCCCCTTATTCAGAGATGCCCTTTTCTCTATGGTGGACCAATTCCAGTCTTGCTTGGGCCCCTTGGGGAGTCCATGACCTGTGAGCAAGTTTAGGAGAGGCTAAATTGGATACAATAATAAACAACTGCCACTCCTCAGTGGTTAAACAACAAAGGGTTATTTTTTGAAGACTCCAAGTCCCACAATGATTGGGGCTCTACTCAAGTTGTCATTGTCAGCCACCCCCACCCCCACCTCCAGCTGCCCAAGGAGCCTCTCTGGGGAATTGTAGATTGCCTTGACAGGCAATGAGAGAAAAAACATAGCAAAACTTGCAGTGATCTTGAAGTAGAAAAGGATACACTTCTAACAAGTTACCTGAGCAAGTGTGACTTCAAGAGGAAAGGGAAGGACAGCTGATCTGGATGGACAGTCCTAACATCAGATGATACCACCTGGTTCTTTCAGAATTCTCTCTGAAACCAAATCCTCCTGGTGAGCTCCGACTCCACACAGCCTCAGAAACAACCAGGAATCTTTCTCCCTCCATGCTTTGACTTGCCCCTCATTAGTTATTCTCTCCTGTCAATTGATAAATTCTTATTTAGACATGGACTATGTGCAGGTCTCATTTTGAAGTGCTGTGGGTAATGCAGAAGTGAATTATTTTTTAAATCTTAACTCTTCAAAATCTACATGTAAATCACTTTTCCCTTTAGGGCTTTCTTGGTTACTACAGCCTACATCAAATGCTTTGAATTCTTTTACTACTGCAAATGCAGCTGCCCACCTATGCAGGACAAATGCTGATCTATGACATTCCCTGATGGGTTTTCCAGCTCAATGTCTCTGTTTCTATGATGAGATTACAAACTTGGAATGAAAACAGAGTTTTTTGTGATTGCCTCATGATCCTCAAAACCTTGCAAAAAACTAAATCATTTAACCCTTTTAATTTAAGTGCCTAAAGCAGAAGGAACTGACTCAAACTTCAGGAAGTAGCTGTGAGGACAGGGTGACAGGAAATGACAGGAAACCTGAATACGGAACTGAAGCAGCCACTCACTTTCTTACCCTGAAGCTATAGCATTCAGAGAGGGCGCGGGTGTGGACGTGAGGAGCCCGGAGCTCAGATCAAACGCTTACGCTGGTGGAGGTGGGTATTCTGAGCGAATGGTGGGAGACTTGGGGAACACAGGGCAAGAATGGAAAATGAATCTACCTGGTGCTCAGTTCTTGTTGAGGGACAAGGTTACTGTTAAACTTTGATGGCCAGAAGGCCTGGTTGCACTGGTGTTGGAGAATGAGCACCTGGGTGTGCAAAGAGAAGGGAAAGGTTTCAGCCCAGGAAGCAGATTTCAGGAGCCAATAAGACTCAGACCCAAATCCACAGCCACCCTAAGGGCTGCAGCTCCTAGAAACTGAGTTGGGAGGGGGAACCACAGGTGATGGAGACAAAGACTGTACTCGAAGAGTCCATGGTTTAGTGGGTAGACGAAACCCACAGAGGAAACGTAACAGATCAGGAAGTAGTCACTAGTGCACACTAGTGCTGAGAACCGAGTGCTGATGGGGCCAAGTGCAGGGTGACTGATCAGCTGGGGCTGGTTTCTATGATTATGATCCCAGAACCCTAGAGTGTCAGAAACAAAGGGGGCTTTACAGATTACCTAGGTTAAACCCTGGGTTTATTTTCCTTTGGAGGAAATCAGAAATAATCCGTTGTTTGCCAGATTATTTAAGATTCTATCTGTGAATTTCCTAGTCCAGCCCCCTGTACGTCCTCTACGGCAATTCTCTGCCATTGTCCGGGTGCTTCACTGATGTTACTGTAAGAGCCTCACGGTGAAGCTTCAACTGTGCCTGGGCTCCATGTCTCACCAGCTCACCCTAGTCTCCCACTTCTATATAGCAACTCTTATCTTTCTGATTTCTGGGCAGTAGGGAAAGGATATTAAGTTGTCTCTGTATCAGAAACTTTATTTCAATGGAGCTGAGGGTGTGGCTCAGTCGTAGAGCACTGGCCTAGCATGAGTGAGGCACTAGGTTCAATCCTCAGTGCCACATAAAAACACACACATACATACATACATAAGTAAAGGTTTTGTGTGCATCTACAACCAAAAAGTGAAAAATGAGTGAAGGTGGGAGAGTGATGAGAGTCAGGGTGAGGCCTCAGAGGAACAGCTGGAAAGAGGAGGAGACTGTCAGTCCTCACTGCTTCCTTATTACTCATGAATATTTCAGAGACTTCTCCTTTCGGTTTTCTATGTGAGGTCCTTTTGTTGCAGAGCAGCCCAGGAACCAGCCATAGGAATTATAAGAATGTAGGATGATGGGTGTCATTTACCTGTCCCCATCCCTCATCCACAGTTGTTGCCCCAGCAGGGAAGGCCGAGCTGCTCTTGGTGGTGACACATCCCGCAGCTAGGATGACTCATTCTCTCATCTCCAGTCTCCCCTGTGGCAATTCTATAGCCACACTATCTGGAATTTCCCCTGAGCAGGTTTTCAAAGAGAAGGATGATGTTTCCAAGTGGACACAGAATCTGGAGAGTCTGAAGGTGGAGGTGGAGAGACCGGAGAGCTCTAGGAGTAGTCAATTGTAAAGGGAGACAGTGAAGAGGCGCGGGGGAGGCCGCCAGTGGGAAGAGGTGTCAGAAAAGGGAAGGATGGGCAGGGAAGTTGCCAGCTAACAAGAGGGTCAAGAAACCTCAGTGGCCACCAGAGCAGATGGACGTTGTCTATTATGACCTCTTCACACCGAGATCCAGGAGCCCACAAATGCACAGCAACTCTAGCTCTTCCTCCAGCACAGTTGGCAAGGCTCAAGGGAACACTGGGGCTGCCCCCGCAGAACAACACCTTGGAATCCTTTCAAACTGGTCTTCTCCAGATGATCTCTTTCATGGTTATTTAGCTGATAAAAATCAAATATCTCCTAATGTTTTAAGATAAAGGATTTATTACATGCTAATTTTGAATCCCTTATATTCTTTAGAAATATTATCAAACTTTTTTTAAAAACTGAGTAGTAAAGATTTATTCCCAGTAAATAGTGCTTCCCCATGCATTGTTCAACACAGGAATTCCAGCTGCTTGTCCCTTCTGACCACCCACAGCTGTGCAGTGACCAGTCTCCGCACAGCTCTTGCATTGATGGTAGAAAAAAAAATATTCTCAAAATAATTAATTAATCAGGTTGTAGACAGTAGAAGATTTTCATTTCTCCAGGAAATGAAAATGTTTGGGTCGTGTGAAAGGAGTCATGTAGATATCAGAGTGAAATGGCAGCATACTTTGATGGATGTCCTAGCTTCCCTCACTGATTACCACTCTGTAAGCCACTGCCTGGCTCACCTCTGGACACAAGTGAAGAGTTCAGCTGTTTTGACACCCAGGACATTTAATGTTACCTACACCCATGAGAATTTCTCTCCAGAGAAGGTGAGCCCAAGCCACATTAGCTTGTCTTAAATAAACCCCATCTCCTCTACCTGCACATAAGTACCTTCCTAAAACTTTCATCTGCTTTGTCTTAGCTCCTATTTTCTTCTAGGAAAAAAATGGCAGGAAACATTGGGATTTAAAAAAAATGTTTATTTTTTTAGTTCTATTTGGTCATAATGCCTTTATTTTATTTTTATTTGGTGCTGAGGACCAAACCCAGAGCCTCATATGTGCTAGGCGAGCACTCTACTGCTGAGCCACACAACCCCAGTTCCAACAATGGGCTTTTTAAAACTTTTTAAAAATTTGTTCTTTCTAGATATACATGACAGTAGAGTATTTTTTGATATATTATACATACATACAATAAGTATACCTTGTTTCAACTAGGATCCCATTATTGTGGTTAATATATGATGCTGAGTTACACTGGTCATGTAAGACATAAGCTCCAGCTTAGGTCTGTGTATAAGGAGAGGAAAGATATGCCCAATTCATTCTATTGTCTTTCCTATTCCCATCCCCCTCCCATCCTTTCATTCCCCTTTGTCTAGTCCAATGAACTTCTAGTCTTCCCCTCCCTTGTTGTAAGTTAGCATCCACATATTAGAGAGAACACTCTGCCTTTGATTTCTTAAATTTTTTTTAAAAATATTTATTTTTTTAGGTATAGATGGACACAACACCATGCCTTTATTTTTTATGTGGTACTGTGGATCGAACCCGGATCCCACCTGTGCTAGGTGAGCACTCTAAGGCTGAGCCACAATCCCAGCCCCTCTGCCTTTGATTTTTGGGGGACTGGCTTATTTCACTTAGCATGATAGTCTCCAGTTTCATCCACTTACCGGCAAATGCCATAATTTCATTCTTCTTTAGGGCTGAGTAATATTTCATTGTGTATATACACCACATTTTCTTTATCCATTCATCAGTTTAGGGCACCTAGGTTGGCGGGCTGTTTAATATCGGCTTTTTGTTTTTCCTTCTCCTGATTCTTTTTTGTCCTCAATTATTCCCATTTTCTGTCACCTTCAGATGTGGAAGTCTGTAGTGGGTCATGATGTATCTGTTTCCGTGGAGACCCAGGGTGATGACTGGGACACAGACCCTGACTTTGTGGTGAGTTTGAAAGTCGTTTTTCTTGAACGATGAGGAGCGTGAGGGATGAGCAGGCATGTGAGCCACTCTCCGACCTTGGAGGAGACTTAGACAAGGACGATGTGGGACTGAGTCTCACAGTGGGAAGGATCAGTGGGACAGTGGGTGGATGAGTAGGGCATGTCTGATAGCTGGTGTGAAGGGTGGAAGGAGACAGGTGTGAATGGTTGATGGGCCAAGCTAAAGTTGAGGAGCAGGTAGACCTGGTCTCCTTTGGCCTAGGATCTAGGATTTGGGCTAGAACTGTGTGATACAGGTGGGTTGAGATGTTGTAGGAGACTTAAGAAGAACAGGCAAAGGAGGCAGAGTAGGAATAAAGGTTTCAGAGCTCAACAGTTTAAATTTTACATGGAGCCAGACGTAGTAGGGATACCCTGACTGAAGAAGGTAGCGGATACAGGGAACTGGGAGGTCTGTGTAGCAGTGTGTGTGGGTCTCCTCTTGGCACGGCACATTTCCCACCAACACTTCTGTTGAATGCTCTTTTGTAGAATGACATCTCTGAGAAGGAGCAACGATGGGGAGCCAAGACCATCGAGGGCTCTGGACGCAAAGAGCACATCAAGTAGGTGCCATAAGGACTGGGAGAGGGAAGGGGATTTTGTGAAGAGCTCAAAGCAATCTCAGTAACTCCGGGGAATATGTGGGAGGGAAAAAAAATAGTTCATGTGTGTTTTGTTGTTGTTGTTGTTAATTTTGTTTATTTATTTTTTGTAGTAGTGGGGATTAGAACCCAGGGCTTTGCATATTTTAGGCAAGAGCTCTGCCACTGACCTACATCCCAGCTCTTTTTTAAAATTTTAATTTTGAGACAGGTTCTTGCTAAGTGTCCAAGGCTGGTCTTGAACTTGTGATCCTCCTCCATCAGCCTCCTGATAGCTGGGATTATAGTCATGCACCACTGCTCCAGCTTATGTCTGTGTATATTTGGGTTTTTGGTTTGGATATTTTTTTTTTGTAGATTCTGTCTTTGTGTGTCTCTATATGTGTCATTGTATATTTCATTTCTTTCCTCTTGTGCCCATGACCTTATAATTAGTTTTTTATATCTAAGACCCTGCTATTTCCTCCAAGGGAGTCTGTTGTAGTAACAGCCTTCCTTCAGTCAGGCATCAAGGATTCAGAGAGGAAGTGTCTGTCTACCTACCTACTACCCATTAGGTATCTAGTTATCACCCATCTGTCTCTTCACATAAATATAAATGTGTACTTAGAATAGAGGGTGAGTTCAGATGGGCTAAGAAGGAGTCAGTAAAATGTCAAGGTGAAGAATTCAGAATACATTTAAAAAGACAATATGAGCTTCCAGGGTTGACCCAAATAACTTAAAATACACATTTGTACTTGTCTTCCTCACACAAGTGAGAAGCCTTGTGTTTAGTAACACAAAGAAGAGTGATAGGAATACGTAATGATTAAAACTATTTTAGCAATGACCTTTTACGGATTGTGATAGCCTAATATTCACTTTTACTAGCAAGATACCAGAAGAGAGAAGGAACGTGGGAACACATCCAGAGGCTTCTGTGGGATGTATTGTGTATTAGGATTGAGAGAGCCCCTCTCTTCATGGATTATTCAGATCCATCTAACCAGGAACGTCAGCTTTGGGTAGGAATAGAGTGTCCAAGGCCAGTGGCAAAGTAAACACAACAAAGAGCATAACAAGAGCAACAATAGAAAGAACCAATAACTACATACAAAATGGAAAAATTAATTTTGTCAGCTCCATTTTAATCCCCCCCAATCTAATAGCAATGTTTTAACCTCGTTTCCCCTAGATTTAGAAAAGTGTGAGTGGGTAGAACATTTGTCTAGCATGCACAAGGCCCAGGGTTCAATTCCCAGCATTGAAAAACAAAAAATGTCAGTGGATGACTTTGTTACTCAAGCAATACACTAAGAAAACTTGGCACTTGTTTATGTGGTTTGAGAATATTCAGTACTGTGCATGGTTGTTCAATCAGACATAAATGGTTTGAGTTACAAAGCTATAATGAATGCCATTCTTAAACAAACCAGGCAATTCTGGAAGCAGTTGGAGCTTCACTGAATACATCACTTTGTCTGACGTCCACTGAAGTCATACAATGTGATAACCATGCATATGTCTTGTTAACCTAGCTGGATCTATACCTAATGCAATAAATGTTAGATGTATTTCCACAAAAGCTGACTCACCTCCCATTTATCCAGGCTACCAAGTTACAAAAGCCTGATCTTTGTTGGTAACAGGCCTGGTGACTCTCTCTTATCCTCTCTGATAGTCAGAGACCTCATTTGGACCAAAAAAAGACTTCTAGAGGATATTCCAGTATTCAGTGCCTAACCCTCTGGTTCTCTGTGGCTGATGTGCTCTATGCCAACCTTCACTGTCTGATGGGAATCACTGAGGCCTTTGGAGCTGGGGGATTGGGGGGTTCAGTCCAAGAGTAACTGTGCACTTACATGACTCAAAGTAGAAAGAGGAAGTGGCTGGTTCTCACTATCTCACCACCATCTCCCACGCCACGGTGTTTCCATTTAGGTCTGTCTTCAATAACTTTAGTTTGAGAAGTGGTTTGGTAATTCAGAAAATAGCTCAAATGCTCCTCTCTGTCCCCCAACTTTTGTATAAAGAAACTGCCTGATTTCCAAAGTGTGTGGCCCTTTCCACCTTCCTCTCCACCCTTGCACACTAATCTATTTTTAAGGATTCTCACTACTCCCAGACAAGAGTTTCTTAGACTATCTTTGGGAAAGAACCAGGTTTTTAGTCTGCTCTTGTTTTCAAATTTGTCACAGACTAATATTTTTGTAAAATGAAAAAAATGACATGAAGAAAAAAAGTATGATTTTTTAAATATTTTTCTAGCTGTAGTTGGATAGAATACCTTTATTCCATTCATTTATTTTTATGTGGTTCTGAGGATAGAACACAGGGCCCCAGGCCTACTAGGTGAGCGCTCTACCGCTGAGCCACAATCCCAGCCTCAAAGAAAAGCACAATTTTAATTTTTAGATTTGATAAATCGAATTGCTATGTTAAAATGCTATGAAAGTTTCTAAATACATACTCCCAATTTTTATTCTTATTTCATTATGGAAGAGAAGTGGTTGGGCTTGTGCACCGCACCCTGAGCAGCCCGACATCAGACGCAGCTCCCGGTGCTTCCTGAGACCTGTCTGGCCATCAGGTCACATCCTCACTGCCTCGGGAGCACTGTCCACTTTGTCACGTCCTGACATTTTATTCCAAGTGGCAACGTAGAATGATGCGGTACCAAGAGTACTAAACAAGCAGCCTGAAGATCTAGGGACTGTTCCCTGCTCTGCTACCAAGGGACTCAGGGCATTGAAGAGAATTATGTCACCACTCTGTCTCTATTCCCCCTTGTGACTGGGAATAATAGACCATCCCTGTTTACCTCACAGGAGTGCTACGAAGAGCCACAGCTATGGCCTAAGAATCATGGCAACACTTATTAACTGTTACATGTCATGCAAAATGTGTTTCCCAAACAACACTATATCATAGATCTTGCTGTTATCCTGATTTCACAGAAAAGTAAATAGAGAGGTTTAGATGTTTAGTAATTTGTCCAAGGATGTACAAATAATAATTTGAATTCAGCTCAGTCTGACTCTGTGGACTGAATTTTGTTGTTGTTGTTGTTCTAGGGATTGAACCAGAGGCACTTTATCACTGAAATACATCTCAGGCCTTATTTATTTATTGTGGAGACAGTGTCTTGCTAGGTTGCTTAGGGCCTCACTAAATTGCTGAGGTTGGCCTTGAATTTGTAATCCTCCTGCGTCAGCCTCCTGAGTCTCTGGGATTACTAGTGTGTGCCACTGTGCCTCACTTTCTTCTTAAATTTATTCTAAAATATTTCATATTATTTCATGTGGCTATAATTATATTTATTTTTAGCTTTGAATTTCCAAGTGTCCATGGCTAGTATATAGAAATAACTTGATTTTTTTAAAGAGAGAATTTTAGTATTTATTTTTTTTTTTAGTTTTCGAAGGACACAACATCTTTCTTTGTATGCGGTGCTGAGGATCGAACCCGGGCCGCACGCATGCCAGGCGAGCGCGCTACCACTTGAGCCACATCCCCAGCCCGAGAGATAACTTGATTTTGACATAGTTACCTTGTATCCTGTGATCTGGCCAAAGTCATTTAATAGTTCTAGTAGATTTTTGTTTATGGCTATTCCTACATACATGATCACAGAATATATAGTACACATAGTATACATACAGAACCACTCACTTTTGTGCTTTTAATTTTGTTAAAAAAAAAAAAAAGCTCTGTCCTTTCTTTTAGTTCATCTTTGAAGTCTTGGATTTTGCTTGGTTCTCATGATCTTCATTGCTTTATTAATGTAACATAGTTGAAATTTTTAAATAGATATCTGAGAGTGTGTCAAAAGTTTCTTAGGTGTACTTGGCATATTGAGTTAGTGACTTATAATTTTTCCTCTCTACTCTTGCACCTGACCCAGGTATTACTTCCATACATGAATCATCTTTGTGTTCTCAGAACCTAACAGCACCTCACACTCAAAAACTGTTTCATTAATAATCATTGAATAAAGGAATGCTATATCAAGACCTATTCAGAATGGATTCAGCTATATCCTAAATAGGTTAATAAAAAGTTGTTATTTTCCTCTGGTCACATTTTCATTCAAATTATATAATCTATTGATTGGCATAATCTCCTGGCTAGCCTCTGTCATCTATTAAGTGGGTGTTTCTGAATATCATTTTTCTAATCCCTTTTTCAAAACTTGTTTCAACGTAATGTAGTTATGATCTGATTTAATAATCACTAAGCTCATTAAAACTTAGTGGATATTTCTTAATAGAAAGCAATGTTTGGCCCCATTTTCTTCATTCTTCCTCTGAGTCTTTCAATTGGGAAGCACAGGAGAGTGATTTACTTGTTCTTGGATCCCACAGCCTTTCTGACACAGTAGGTTCTAAAGCATTGGTGTTGTTGAACTAGTAACATGGGACCTCTGCCGTCACCGCTGCCAGAGGGTTTAAAGGAGGCATGGGAACAGAGGGTTCTTCCAGCACTTAGATTAATTTCATCTGGTTTATAGCCAGCTTTCTAAAATTAACTGTGGCTAAAGCTGAAAAGGCTTTTTAAAAAGACCTTCACTGGATTATTCCACAAGGCCACCAGATGGATCTATTCTTCCATGAAAGAAGAGCATTTCCACGGCGAGATGGCCATTCTGCCTATGACCAATGTGTCTACTGGTCCTGAGCTTGTGAAGGACCAGGGACATCACTCTCAATACCTCAAATCTTCATTGCTTGCCGCAAGAGGTCAAATTTCTTACCTAGAGTTCTCTTGCCCAAATGTTTCTAAAAATCCCCAGGGGTTCCTGTATGTGCCCCAAGTATATATCAGTCCTTGTTTTCACTTAAGGGTGCTGATGCTGATCTATGGCTTCATATGCTCAGGCCAAACCCATTGGCCAAGGTGACTGTCCACCCTCTGAAGTGTTGCAGCCACCTTCATGATAAAGATGGAAGTGAGTGTTCAGTGAGAGAGAGGATGGCTCCCTGGGTGTCACTTGCTCTTGGGGATGGGGCAAATCCCTGGGTGTCCCAAATCTATCATTTGAACCCTAAACTGTTATAACAGTTAAGGATAAGTGGATATTATTATTATTATTTTGTTTGTTTAGTATTAGTTCTCTCAGGAATTATCTGGCGTGGGGAGAAGAGGGTCAGAAGAGGGTTGATTCTTGACAAAAACAGTCACACAATACTAATGTATAAATAAATTTCCCCAATGCTGCACTTTTATAAGCACCATTTTTAATGATTTCCAGTATGCTATTGAAGCTTAACGTTTCAATTTTCTAAACTATTTTTTAGTTATTGGCCATGTCGTTTCTTGCTGTTTTGCTGTTGTGCACAATGTTTCAATGAATATTTTTATGCTTCTTGAGATGGATCACTTAATTGATAGAAAGCAGGTCCATTCAGAGAGGAAGATGACATCTCAGTTATTACAGTATAGGTACCATCATCCTCTAAGGCTCAAGAACATGAAAAAATGGTACTAAAGATCAGAATCTTATTTTAATAAGCAAAATAACAGACTATTAGGAAATACTATTAGCTTCTGAGAGTTTTGATCAGGGTATTGTGCACAGGTCAGACTGATCTCTTACTGCCAGACCCATCTCTAGCATATTTTGAGGACTCGGGTCATTGCTACAAATAAACAGACCTCAGGACTTCCACTCTTCTGGGAGGATGGGTTCACTGACCTCCCTATGCTGAGTGAATCTTGATCATGTGGTTACTTCCAGCATTCACCAGCTGAGGAGCAAAGTGTCGGAGGAGCATGATGTTCTCAAGAAGAAAGAGATGGAATCAGGGCCCAAAGCGTCCCATGGCTATGGCGGTCGGTTTGGAGTGGAAAGAGACCGAATGGACAAGGTTAGTTGCAAGAGAGAGATTTGTTTTTTTAAAAAAAAATCGACTAATTTGTTGGTTTCATGGTTTCAAATGTGTTCAAAAGTACAGTACCCACTTAGGCTTTAAAAAATAGAATGTCTGCATGTAATTTTTATCTTTTTTTTTTTCCCTGATCTTAACACCTAAGATATAGATGGTAGAAAATAGAGGCTAAATATTAGAATGGCAGCCAGAGGCACACTGTTACTCCTGCCCCAACAAGAGAGGGTGTGCCAGGTTTCTGTTCGCGACTAAAACACACAAGGTTCACTCCAGTTAAACTGGGCTAACTGGGCTGCACAAAATAACCACACAAGAGACACAAATACCTTTTTCTTTGGGGTCACTGTGATGGCTCCTCTGACCTTAAGGGTCCGCAGGGAAAGAGAGAGAGCATGTGCTGACCCCTTTTATTGAGGAGAAGCTATTCAAATGAGGCAAGGGATCATATTTCAGGCGGCTGAGTCTATCTTCATGATGTCCACTGTCAGCAGGTTGACTGACACCTGGGTAGGCCACACCCAAGGACACAGTAAGAGAAGGGGCCTTCCATGGAAGATTCTATCCTAAACAGGGCCAGGGGTTATATTACAAAGGAACAAGTGAGCATAGCTCCACCCATGGGGCTGTAGGAAGACACAGCCTGGGCACGAAGACAGTCACTCGAACCCTAGAAGAGCGGGACTGTCTAGCAGCATGGGTGCCTGACGCCACATCACCCAGCAGGGGAGTTAACTCAGGCACATGGGAGGTTGGTCTCCCACAAGGGTGCACAAGAGGAGAAGGGGAAAATAGGTTTTAGAATCATTTATTTATTTTAAATGTCTATATATTATGTCTTTGTTCAACTTCTTTTATTATTTCTTTACTGTGTATTTAGTGATCTTTTTGTACAAATATTACACGTTAAATGTTGGAGAAAAGTTAAGAATTTACTTCATTATTGTTTTGATGCACAAGGCCCTTGTTTTAGCTCTTTTTGTTTCTGGTTTGAACACTGCTCCTCCTATTCAGCTCTGTCCTCTGGCTCCCTGCCCAGCCTCCGGGAGTCTTCTAGGTGATGGCTCCCTGGTGGTACAGGGAAGAATCAGGGATGTGCAAGGCCAGGAAAGGCCCCCTGCCCTCATCCTGTACTCCTCAGCACCACTCTCAGAGGCTGCAAGACTGATCCAGTGTGGACTTGCTGGTGTTCTGACATGCAATGGATATTGCATCCCTGTATCTATGGTTTCAAGGTCATTTTGACCATTTCATCCTTCCATTCTTGATTGTTCTCAGAGTGCCGTGGGCCATGAGTACGTTGCTGAGGTGGAGAAGCACTCTTCGCAGACTGATGCTGCCAAAGGCTTTGGGGGCAAATTCGGAGTTGAGAGGGACAGGGCAGACAAGGTAAGCAGTGACTTGCTCCCTGCACTGTCCTCCTTAAACCATGGGGGACCTGCTGATACTTGCCCATAAATGTAGGCCACACTATTGGAGGCAGTAGATACTATTTGGGTGTGGTACCATCACAGGCCTAGTTCCCATGAACTCCCTCAGCAAGTTCCTTGGTGCCACTGTTGGAGGTCACATGCTGAGCCCCAAGATATCCATTGAAATGCAGCAGGGGCTGGGTATAGCTCAGTGGTATAGCACTTGCCCAGCCTTTGTGAGGCCTGGTTTTTCATTCCTTTCACTGCAAAAAAATAAATAAATGAGGCAAAGACTCCAGCTCTCTGAATAAGAATTCCTCAAGCCATTGGTTTTGTTTTTGTTTCTTTATTTTATGTTTGTTTGTTTGATTGGTTTTTTTTTTTTTGGTACTGGGGATTAAACCCAGGGGCACTTTACCACTGAGCCACATCCTCAGTCCTTTTATTTATTTATTTACTGGTACCAGGGATTGAACTCAGGGGCATTCAACCACTGAGCCACATCCCCGGTCCTATTTTTCTATTTTATTTAGAGACATGGTCTCATTGAGTTGTTCAGCGCCTAGCCATTGCTGAGGCTGGCTTTGAACTTGTGATTCTCCTGTCTCAGCCTCCTAAACTGCTGGGATTACAGGCATGCCCCACCGTGCCCAGCAAGTCATTGGTTTTTATTATACCTATACACATGAAGAGAAATTTCCCCAAGCTCTTCTTTTGGCCTAACATCAAAACCTTCTAAAAATGCATGCCTTTCAGGAAAACAGAGATGTCAACTTAAATATTATTACCATGACAACAAATAATCTATAAAAGCAATTATTTAGGATCGAAATGATTTTCAGAGATGAAGGGTACTTTTCACAGGATTTAGCTTCAACCTCTGAAGTCTGGGTATTTACAGAGACTCCTTTGTACCAAACAGTAGTTTAAAAGAAAAACACACACACACACACACACACACACACACACACACACACACATATATATATATATATATATATATATATATATATCTCAGCATAGTACAATTACAGGATGACAAGGTGAACAGGAGAGGAAATTTGCTAATTCATTGAAGCTCTCTGTTCCATGCCTTATTAAATGAGATTCTTTGAGCTTTTATTTCATGGTGCAGGCTGGTGTCTCTTCCCTACAGCTGCACAGAGAGAGGACATCTTCAAGCTAACTCAATTGTGTTGTTCTAATTTCCAGCATTTGTTGATTATGTGAGACTGAATTCATAAAACTAAGTGCTAGAATATTGACTGTCTACATGGTGGAGAGAGGCAGGGGAAAGCCAAAACACATCTTGGAAAGTTCAAAACCTGCTCTAAAGAAAAGGGAAATGCAGAAGGTGATTTTTGAAGGCATAAATGGCATAGCTTGTAATGTTCTATAAACAGGATGGAATTTCCTGTTCCATTTGGCTTCCCTCCTGTGTGTCTTTGCCTAATCTCTTATTGTTACATGTCTGCTTTACAAGCCACAAGGGAAATCACCTGAACAATGTGTGTGTCATGTAAATAAAGAAAGGACACTTTACTAATTAGTTCGTGAGATGCAAAACCTAGACTTGCTTACAGACTCCCAGTTACTAAGCCAATGGGGATGCAGCCCCCAGGTGATGTTAGGTCCCCCGGACAGTTCATCCAGCTCTGGGGTCAGCCAAGATCCAGAATCTCCCAGGTTTCTCCCACCCCATCAAAATCTGCTGTGTTTCACTGCTGAGTTATGAAAGAAGGTATAACCAACTAAGAACAGGATAAATATCTCTTTCATGTGCATACTGGTTTATAAGGTACTTTTATACGTATTATCTGATTTTAGTTTTGTGAGGATTTCTCAGGAAGAAATACACTAATTTAGAGAGTGACTCAATGCAGACTCATGTATATACCTTATTCCATTTTTTTGTCATATTATTCTAAATGAAGAGGGAGCCTTTCTTGCATTTTATAGTGGAGATGAGTAAAGCAAGTGTTCCACTTTTCTTGTTATATTAGAGACCAGTGCTCAGTCCTATTAAGGAGCATGTCTAAAGCTAACCAACTATGAATAGGGGAAGCGGGGTTGGAACTAGAGAGCTGTCTGTGTGCAGAGCCCTTGCTCACTGCTCGGTAGCACACTGCCAGGCACCACCAGCCAGTCGGGATTCTGTTTCTAGGTTAAAGTCCCATCACAGCCCTGAGCCCCCATAATCTACCTTTGGGGCTGAACCTAGAGTAAGGGAAAGGCAGGGAGAGGAAAACTGACAGTCCGGACTCTAACAGTTCTCTGTCCATTTCTCTGCAGTCAGCAGTTGGCTTTGATTACAAAGGAGAAGTGGAGAAACACACATCTCAGAAAGGTGAGGACCTGCTCTCCTGCCTTGCCTACCTGCCCGGGCTGGCTCCTCCACAGACCTCACCTCCCAACAGCTGCTGCCAGTGTCCCTGCTCCAGGACTCCCCGGCCCACTAACTTATCCACTCTTTAATTCTACTGTGTGCTTGTTCTCTCTGTCCCCTTCACTGCTTTCTATGAGACTGATGAAGTTTTCTTTCATTCTTTTTTCTTGTAACAGTCTGAAAGTATTCGATTCCTTTATTCTAGAGTTATCCTTGAATTTTAAGTCTCTAAGATCTAACAGACTTCCCTTTCAACCCTAGACTACTCTCGAGGCTTTGGTGGCCGTTATGGGGTGGAGACGGATAAACGGGACAAAGCAGCTCTGGGATATGACTACAAGGGAGAGACGGAGAAACACGAGTCCCAGAGAGGTGAGTTGGGGCTGAGAAGAGAGAGGTAACGGAGAAGGACAGAGATCTCCTTCCGTTCTGTCTGGAAGTGGCTCCAGGGGCCCCGGATGTGGAGGAGCTGATGTGCAGAGAAGGCAGATGGGGTGGGGTGGAGAGTAAGTGGGTGGAAGAGGGGAGACATGCAGGGGTGGAGAAGACCACAGCAGGATTAGGAGCAGAGCTGAGGAGGGAGGCCAAAGAGAAGGGGTCACTGGGAAAGGGATGGAGACGGGCTGGGCGATGGCCACACAGTGGCTTGGCTATGTGTCTCACCTCCCCTTCAGCCTCACAGTCTACCTCTTCCCTGGATCTGTGCAGGGGTAGCTGGAGAGCTCTCCTTGTTTTTTCCTTTTTTGTTTGTTTTCTCATTATTTTGAAACTTCTTTCATTTTTTTGATTCCCTGTTTCCATTTCTCTCTTCTCCATTCTCTCTGAACTTTTCCCCCCATTCTTTCCCCTCTTTTCCCACCCATGCCTCTCTCTATCCTCCGAAGTCTCACATTTCCTCTTGTGTCTCTGTGTCCCACATTCCTGTCTTCTGGTCCTTCTTCCCACGGCTCCATTTCCCCACCTATCTCCAGCATTTTAATCTCCTATTGTGACTCTCAGAACTTCCTGTCCCACAGATTACGCCAAGGGCTTTGGTGGTCAGTATGGAATCCAGAAGGACCGAGTGGATAAGGTAACGCGCCAGAACACCAGTGTCCTGAGAAGGGTCCCCTACGTGTAGGGAAGTGGAGAGAAGAGTGCGAAGCAAAGTCGGGAGAAGGATGGGACAGTGATGCTGGTGCTCTGAGCCTGTCCTGCTGGGATCCTGCCCTCCCCATTGACTGTCTTCAGCATCTGATGGACATGAGGTCACAACCTGATGAGCTTTAAGTGAGGACAGTGGAATGCAGCAAGGAGAGACAGAGAGGAGAAATGAACCTCAGGGAAAAGTGGTGTTAGTTGTGCAGTTTCATGGATTGCTTGGCATTGCTTAACCCACTCCTTTTTGTCTCTGCCTAGTCCACGTCACTGTTGTTCCATACACTAGCTCCTTCTGCACTGGCCAGGGACCCTGCTGCACTCTAGGCTCAAGACATGTGATCCAAAGTACACTAAGCTTTCAAAGGGAGCCACCAAACCTACCTGTTTAGAACTCTCTCTGCCACAAAATAATAATAGGACCTTGTACTAGTGTTAAGACCCACATGGTTAAGGGCTACTTCCTACAGTGGGCCCAATCCCCAGTACTGCCTTCTGAGGCACTGCCATCCTGTCCCTCCCCACCTGCACACACGGTTCTCCCAATTTGCAGAGTGCTGTTGGCTTCAATGAGATGGAGGCCCCAACCACAGCTTATAAGAAGACGACACCCATAGAAGCAGGTGAGTCTCAGTTTCCTCTATGATCTTCAACTTCCTCTTTCTCCTCCGCAGTCTACCTCCTGCATGCCTTTAACTGCAGAGGTTATCTGATGGAGGCTTGATCTCTAGCCTCATATTCCCAGATCTGTCTCCTAGAAAAACCAGGTCAAGTGATAGAGTGGCATTAGGGAGGGAGCTGGGGGCAGAGAACACAGGGGGGAGGGAGGGAGAAGAACTTGGGAAGGGTATGCAGGGGTAGGAGCTTGGGATGGGCAGAAGATGGTGGTGGCTCGAGGGTGTACATGTTTGAGGAGAGTGAGCTACTGAGGGAACCAAGGCGTATAATTTAGAAAGGACAAGAGTCTGAGGTCACACCGAATGGCTAGATGGAAATCTGGGCTTTGAGTCCAAACCATCCCCCTGTACCCCTCTGTTCCTCCATCACTGCCTCTTTCTCTCTCCCTCCATGAGTCTCCTCTCCATCTTCTCTTCTGGATATCTAAAACTGATTCCTCTTCTTCCTTCAAACACCACCCTTTCCTCCACTCCCCGTCCATGTCAACCCTAATTCTTCTTGCCTGTGTACAGCTTCCAGTGGTGCCCATGGGCTGAAGGCAAAATTTGAGTCCATGGCTGAGGAGAAGAGGAAGAAGGAGGAAGAGGAGAAGGCACAGCAGGCAGCCAGGCAGCAACAGGAGCGCAAGGCTGTGGTGAAGATGAGACAAGAGGTTCAGCAGCCAGTGGTTCCCGCAGAAAAGCCAGCAGCGCCAGCCCCATTGCCCAAGAAAATCTTCTCAGAGGTGAGCCTGGCCCTCCAGGATCCTCGTCTGGAATCTCTTTCCCAGGCAGAACCTGAGGGGTCCAAATGATGGCAAGAACATAAGGCCTGGGTCTTCCCTGTGTAGGCACAGTCAGCTGTTCCTGTCCTCAGGAAGATTCAGTCATCTGTGTAGTTGATACTCGAACGTCAGAAACATCAGAAGACAAACAAGCGAACACTAAGATATATGTAGTACAATGAAGGGCAGGCCACCAGCCACTGCGGCCAGTCATCCAAGAGGGAGGAGCCAGTTCAGGCTGGGGCCCATCTTGAGCGATGAGTTCTAGTTGGATTGGCAGAGAGCAGGAGGGGTGTGCCTGGTGATTGTGAGCGAAGGTGGTGGGTGCTTGTTCTCCATAGGCCTGGCCTCCAGCACAGAGTCACCCAGCACCAGAGCCCGAGCCTATGAGAACTAGCAGAGAACACCCAGTGCCTTCCCTGCCCATGAGGCAGAGTCCCCCGGAGGTAAGCAGGGCCCCGAGGACTCTCTGCCCCAGGGAGGTGGGTTGCATAGGGTGGCCAAACACCCTGCTTCACCTGGGACTGTTCTGGTTTGAGCGGTGAAAAGTCCTGCATTCTGGAAAATTCCCAATCCTGGACAAACTAGGACAGCTGTTTATCTTAGCTGTGCTATCCCAACGATGTGCTTTTTGCTCCAGAGTTTCCCTGGGCTTCCAAAGGCTCTGACATGCCTTCCACTTTCCTGCCTTTATTCCTTTTACATTCCCCTCCTGTCGTTTCTTGGTAGGTGTTCTGAGTGAGTGGGTATGGAAGGAGGTTGCAGGATGAAGATGGATGACAGACTGTGGTGGTGCAGGTGGAGTCTCCACTGACTCCTCCTGCTGAGTGCAAGTCACACTGCTCCACATTGTCTTTTCTCAGGACCATGAGGAGCCCCCAGCTCTGCCTCCTAGAACTCCAGAAGGCTTCCAGGTGGTGGAAGAGCCAATATATGAAGCAGAGCCTGAGCCTGAGCCTGAGCCTGAGAATGACTATGAGGATGTTGGGGAGATGGACAAGCAGGAGCAGGATAATGATCCAGAGGGGGACTATGAGGATGTGCTGGACCCTGAGGATCCCTGTGTTCCCTCCACCCTGGCTAGTGAGTGGGGTATGGTTAGGGGGAGAAGCAACTCCTCAGTTTTGTCAGGTGTGGGAGAAGAGGGGGATGCGTTTCCCCACTGCCCAGGAGGATCTGTTTCTGCCTTCTCCTTGTTGGTGAGACCATGTGTATATTTCTCATCATGCAGGACCATCAGGCAGCCCAGCTAGGGCTGGGGCTATGGGGATCTCAGCTGTTGCCCTGTATGACTACCAAGGAGGTAGGTTGGGAGTGGCCTGAGACCTCTGATACACAGGAAGGGGATGGACTCTGGGGGTCAGGGAAAGGCCCAGTCTTGCCACCAAGACAAAGGCCAGGCCTCTTTCCTGGGAGTAAGTTCAGGGAGAGATGGCAGGATTCCTGTTTGACCATCTTAATATCCCCTCCATTTCCTCCCCAGAGGGAAGTGATGAGCTTTCCTTTGATCCGGATGACATCATTACTGACATTGAGAAGGTGGATGAGGGCTGGTGGCGGGGACGTTGCCACGGCCACTTTGGACTCTTCCCTGCAAATTATGTCAAGCTCCTCCAGTGACTGACCTCACTATCTACTACAGCTGTGACTCCCCATGTCCAAAGTGGCTCTGCCTCCATCCCATCCCCATTCCTGCTGCAAGTGCCTAACAGGAAGTCTTGGGTTACCCGAGGTTCTGGACAGACTTCCCTCTCCTGTTTCATTAAGGCTTCAGGCCAAAACAGCATGAGGAAGGAGGTCTCCTTCCCGATGGTGTCCTCTATGTCCTGGAATAGCTCTTGGATGTTTACATTGTGGTCCTGCCTTCTTCCCCAGTAATGCCCACTATAATGACTCCCCCAATTCTGCTCTATGCCCTTGTAAGCACTGGGCTTCCTGGTTTGCTTACCTGAGAAGGTGGGTCTATTCTACCTGGTTGTGTTTTTGCCCACTTTTCTTTCCTTTGGAGATATTTCTGAGATTCTTTTCTGTTCACTCCTAAAGTTGGAAATAAAGTGGGACTTCTGTGCACCTCTGTGCTGAGGAAAATAAAACTTCTTGTGCAGTCCTGGCTCTCATGGCTCTAATTTCCCACCCTCTTCCAGGCATATCCAGAAGACCCACTTTTAACACTACCTATTCCTAGCACCCTAGATTCAAGGGCGAGGCATTTTCCTACTCCCTTACACCCGGTCCAAAACAGGTGATCTTGAGAATGGTGGTAAGGTGGGATGACAGGTGGCCAGGTGGTATCCATGTTAAGGTGGTATCAAATCTACCAGCTTTAGCAGTTGTGCCAGGCCAGCCACCTTTTCTTTCCACGTGGTGATTGTAGAGGAAGAAGCCCAACCTAGAGGATAGAAAGCAGGAGAAAGGAAAGGAAAACAAATTGTAGTGAGGCTGAAGAGGATTTAGATCCAGAGACAGTGGCCTCCTTGTAGCAGGCTGGATGGAGGAAGTACATGAAACTTCTGAATGACCCAGAGCCGAGGCAGATAGGAAAGAGGGTAAGGACATGTGGATGGCCATTGTGGACAAAAAGTGAATTGCCAAGCAAACCATGGGATGAGGGAAATTGAGAGGTCAGGGCAAGGTGGGTTTTTCTCAGCCCCAGACTACTGGGCTCAGCCTCAGCAAAGGTCAGAGACAGAAGATTTGAGGGCACAAAGTGGGGGATTTGGTGTAGATGATCTTTGGTTGATAGGACATAGAATCTATGCTGTTACCAGCATCCAAGTTGAGTCCAGCTGTCACAGAGGGAGAAGGCATTGGGGTGGAGGAGGAGGAACTAGGATTAGTAGCTGAGATCCATAGTTGCTCCAGGACTTCATCAGAATTGGTGAGCTGCGGGGGCACCTAGAGAGCTGCACGCTTCAAGCTTGTTCTTGACTTTTCTTCAAGACACACAATCCTTAGTTTCAATAATGACTTCTCCACCAGCAAATCACAAAACTCTCTAGATATAACTCACACGATTCACACACCTTAACCTTTCAAAGGTGAGTGCAAAGCAGCCTTTATTTCCTCCTATAGAGACACTGGGATTTCCGGTATATAGCAATAGGTCACCACATGTACACAATATCATTCTTCATTTCAGTTTGCTTTGATTTCACACAGAAGGCAGACTTTTACAGCAGTTTTCCTGATCCATCTCCAAGTTCCACTTTGCTTTTTCACTCTTCCCTTCAGAAGAGGAGAAAGTTCTTTTCCAGATCGCTTTGCTGCTAAGGCAATAGAGTCCTTTCTGGCCCAGTTCTACAGACCCTGCCCTCCACATTCAGCTGTTCTCTACTCTGGTCTGCCTTTCTGGGCTGTGATGCTCATCAAGGGCTCTGTTGAGGCTCTATTCCTGTGACACAGCCCTCTCTGCCCACCTCAAGTGCTTCTTACTCTGAAGCCATGTCTAGCTGTCTTGCCTCTTCCTTAGGTGCTCCCTGCTCCTGCTGCTCACTACAGCCTCACCTCACTAATCAATCATCTGTCTCCCCACAGCCTCTCTGATAAGGTCCCCTCCTGCTCCTCTGCTCTCTCCTCTAGGAACCAGGAGATACCAGCAGTACCCTGGTTTCCTGCAATATGAACAATTATCTTATAAATGTGTTTGATGATGTTGACCAAATCAGTACTGTTCTGAAAGGAGCAAATGGGAGAGGAAAGTGCCTCAAGGAGCGCCCCGCCCCCCACGAGGGGGCGTGTCCTGAACCCGTGCCCCGCCCACCCTCGCTGTGGAGGGAAAGCCTTCTGCCCTCTTCATGCCTCTGTGGTTGCTCCTCAACCACAGCCCTGACTCATCGTCCTCTGTCCGTAGTTCCTCTTTCTCTCTTTTTCTAATTAGAAATCCTGGCTTTGGGAGCATTATTCCTGCACATAAGAAGGACCAGATTCCAAACACATGTGACTGACACCCAGAGAACTCTCTTCCTTTCTTCTTTCCCACACCTGACATCCAGAGTTTGCTTCTAGTTACTCATCTTCACTGAGTAAAGCCTTAGATCACACTCTAGTTATATTTTTAGAAAACAATGACATATATAAATGTAAAATATAAATCAAACAATAAGCTTTAGAAAAAGTAAGATTACGTTACCAAATAGTACCAAGTGGCACATAATAATGAAAGATGAGCATATTTCTGGTTTGGGGCTTGCTCTACCACCATCTTGACTCTTCCTTTTCAGAGGTATGACCTACACCATTTCTGAACTGGGGCGACCCAGTCAAAACAAGCACCCAGATGAATGAGTCAATTTCTTTGGTTGGGTGAATTCTTTCTCTACTTCCCTTTTGTTCTGTCCTCCCTTTTTCCTATTTCTCACTTGCTTGAGAACAGCTAGAACTGCTTGGAAAATGGCACTGATTAAGGTAAGAAGGACATAAACATAAGACAAATAACTTTCCTGGATATAACTGAGGAGAGCAGAAAATACATATTCTTCCATGTGGCCTGGGGACATGAAGCCATATCAAACAATTGGATCCATCTGGTTTCCGTCTTAATATCACCTGACATCTGAAACCTATTTAGTAGATACATAAGGGCAGCATTAAACCACAGCCATTGTGGATGGCTATGTGCAACAAGATTCTGTTGTACTGACAAATGAGCATATCCTAACTTACTGCTATGATATTCCTTAGGACAGTGGTTCTCAGCCTGCAGCCACTTTGCTCCCAGAGGACATTCTGCAATATCTGGAGACATTTTTGGCTGTTCACTGTGTGAGTGCTACTGTGGGGTGGTGGGGGATGGATTTAATAGAGGCCAAGGGTATTGCTAAATACCCTATAATATATAGAATAGTCCATTATGACAAAGAATTATCCAATTCAAAATGTCAATAGTTCTGGTTAGGCACAGTGGTGCACACCTGTAATCCCAGCATCTTGGGAGGCTGAGGCATGAGCATCGCAAGTCCAAGACCAGCTCCAGAAACGTAGTGAGACCCTGCCTCAAAATGAAAAGGGGCTGGGGAGGTAGCTCAGTAGTGAAGCTAGTCCAGGTTCCAAGTGGCTAGGAGTTCCAAGGTTAGGAAACTCTGCTTTAAGGATTACAAGTTTATTGGGGACTTTTCCCTCTACTTATGTGCTTGGGAATATTCATGGTTTGTTACCAAAAACAGCAGTAGCATCTGTTTTTGACAGGCTGGAGGAATGACCAGCGAGCTTGGGGCAATCCAAGGAACCACTGTGTTCATATGTCTTTCTCTCCAAGGCCCCCAGTGGACTATCCAAGTGGTGTATGGTACCTGTGGACTAGTGCCACAGGAACTGTGGGGGGTCTTGTTTGGACTTTACCCAACACGTAGTCTCCTCAGCTTCCCTGTGTGTCCTGGCATGACACTGAGGTTGGCATCATGTATGGAGGTCATTTCAGACATAGGGTGGCACTGGGCTTTGCCTATGCTCTCCTTCACCCAGACCTACAATATACGTCTCAGGAAAAAACAACCTTGACTCCTGAATCATTATTAAAAACGTTAAAAAGTAGGCTTGAGGCTTTTGTCCTTTCTTTGAAAATACAGAGTCTCCTCTGGACTCTCCCTCGTTTTTCAAGGCTTCCTTTCTATACCTTGCTAAGAATCTACACAAGAGTAACTGACTGTCCATGTACTGTCTGCCCTGCCAATATGCAAGTTTTGTAAACCAAAAAGCCCAGTGTAAAATCATGGGCTTTTGTTGGTTACGGAATTTCATTGCTCTCTCACTTCCTAAAGACTTGTATTCCTTTCCAAATAGCCTCAGTTACTTATTCTCTCCTCAGACTTATCTATTTTAGAAAAAAAGAAAAAGAAAACTAAGTCACAGTGTGGCATTATCATATAAGTCATCGCTTAGGAAATTCTTAGGTCTAGTACAATTGCTGAGGTTTTGAAAGACATCATATGTTCCAATACATGCAATGAAGCAGAATATGCAGTTACAGCAGGGGTTTCTCAAACCATTCTCAGTCCTGCTTTCAATCACTCCAAGGAAAAATTCAAGAATGATGCCATCCAAATCTCTAGATGTGTCTTCCTCGTGGTCTAGTTCTAAAGGTGGAGACTAAGCTCTCCTGGGCCTGCTCACGGGGCTGACACATGCTGGTCAAACGAATCGGGTCAGTCTTGTGCTCTATGATGTTGAAAGGACAGGCCTTCAGATGCTCAGACATGGAGGTGACTTCATTAAACTCCCAGCTCTTGATTTGGGAGAAGAGGCTGCTGAACTGCCAGATCTGTGGAGAAAGAGAAAAACTTAAAGATAAACCTGGGGCAACGCCCCCAGGCTGGCTGTGTTTGAATAGGATGAGGAAACGCCTCTCTCTACTTCCTTCCCGAGTGTTCAGTGGCATTTGACTTTTGTCAGTTTCTTCCCCAGAGTCCAATTTTAAGCTTCCCCCTTCCAATTAATAACCTTCCCAGACAGCCTTGCAGTTGTGTGGGAATGACTGACACAGATCAGCATATTGACATCCACCTACCTTCCCCTGTCCCTCCACTAGCAACCGTTAGTTCTAGAGTAGACCCAGTTTAAATCAGGACAATTAGCACCAATGGGATTCTACCCCAGCACTTTTGTTTGAGATTTCAAAAAGCAGATTCTCTTTCTCCTTCTGTACTTGAACTGGGAACTGTAGTCCTAGGAGGTGTCAGCAGTCTCCAGGGACCACCAGAGGAGAACTGTCTTAGAATGGAGCCAATATTGAGGAAACAAAGAAACAGAAAGTAAAACGAACATTTGGGGAATTTTTTGAGTTGCTAAGTCAAGCCTTACCTGAAACTATTAGGCTAAGGACTTTTGAGTTATATACGCTAATAAATTCCATTTATTGTTTATGTTACTTTTAATTGCTTTTCTACCTGCTTGAAATTAGAAGTATTCTAACTAAATTAAGGTCTTACCTCAATGGAGAGTTCTATGAGTTGAGTCAGTACTCAATAAAACACTCTCTGGTCTTTCCAGCTGGGAGGTGGTGGCAAAGCTACTAGTTTTAAAATGTGGCTATGAGGCTTGGCACCCTTGGCACCTGGTACCCTTTCAGCCTGACTACTTCACCCTCAGTGTTTTGTCTTGTTCCTGTGCAAA